GCTATAACTGTTTATTGATAACTTCAAACTTAGTTCACATATCGCTCACACAGCGTTTCTCAGCCATTCTCTTCATCTCATCTCTGCCGCTCTCCGCTCGGGGGCGCTGCTGCTATTACAGCATGCGCAAACATGTCGCCCTCATTGAAATGTTTATAAAACATTCAGTCACTAAACTATATGAGAAATTTCACAGTACTTCACAAATTATAACACTAAAACTTCAGTAACATATTTATGTACCATAGTACATTAGCCATAATACAATACATAACACAAGAAATAATTCTCATTAACATATACACAATGTAATATAACAATTTTCATTCAGGCAGAGGTAAGACCCAGATTTTGGAAATACATCTTTTGAATACACCTGCTTTAGTTTTAATTTTAACGACCCAAATTTTTTTATCATCACCATAATACACATCAATTATTCGACTTACAACCCATTTGTGAGTAGGTACATTATCCTCTACCAATAATACTAAATCTCCTGTGTAAACATTATCTTTTTCAAATCTCCATTTATTTCGTTGTTGCAGTTCATTTAAGGTATGTACCTACATACGAAGCCCTTTTTTTAAATACATAAAATTTTAATTAAACACACATGATTTTGAGTAAGATGGGATATAAAACTATGAATTTAAATGGAATTTTATAGAACGTTTCATTAATTTTTCAAATATAGGCAATATTTAGTAAAATTTTAGTGAAAATTTTCATTTACGCCAGATCTCCTAAAATAAATTCTAATGAATATACTTCAATAATCTTTACACAGTATATAAATAACATACTTACCTGTGTTCTGTCGCAAAAGATTTGCAGTAAAATTTTTTGAAATATTCAAAACTTGGTACAAAAACTCAAAATTAAAACAAAAAAATCCTCTTTTCCTTCAAATACTGTTAATAAAATCAATAAATGAATACAAAGAGATCAGATTTTGCTACAGAACACAGATAAAGATGAATAAAACATTTTGGCAAAATTTCATTTCAATATTCTAAATGCATTTTGAGAAGTTAATGAAAATTTAGAAATTATTTTAATAAAAAATTTGTAATAAAAGTAATTAAGCTATCCTTATAATTTTCGGATGTCTGTACATTTTTTACTCTGCACATAACTACTCAAAAAGATAGCTTATACCATATATGGGTTAGGATATAACAAGATAAAAATTGTTAATCTTCCCTCCCAAAGCAAATGGATATTGTTGTAGTGTACGATTTCAAAAGAGTAAATCATTAGAATATTAAACTGAAGCAGAGATTTTTCTAAAATTCGAGCTGTGTACAAAACTCTTCAAATGCATTCAAATTCTGAACTGGAATAAGTTAGTTTACTGTTGTGGAACTAATATGGAAATAATATTGTTCATGATACAGTAGTGTACCACAAAGAATTTATGCTGGGAGAAGAAGCAAAACTTCGAAGACACCGCAAAGCCAAATGAAAAGTGGCTTATTTTTTAGTCTTATTATGTATAATATGTCTTAGTATCACTTTAAAATGTATTTATTAATACATAGTGATTTACAAATGATGGAAATTTACTTGGTTATTGAAACCTTTTGTTCTAAACATACTTCAGCTTATAAGAGAAGTTAAAGCTATTCAAAAATATAAATAAGCTTTCTTTATTTATTTGTCAAATGTCCTTTTTCGTGGCCTTAACTTGGATGTAAGATTTATTTCATGTTTTTGCTTATGGTGCAAAACTTTTCAACTTATGTTATTTGAACCTGTTGCATTAGTCTTTATTTTAAATGATATATTGTGTGTAATGTGGCCATGAAGGCAATCTGGTTAAAGTAGAAACGGAATCAATAATAAGAGCATTTAATTTATTATAGCCATTTTCTTACTTTTACTAAAACTCTCTCAATTTTCCGTAGAGAGGCTTTTTTTTTAACCAATAGAAATTATCTACATAATCCTGTTGCAATGACATTTAACTTTTTTTTCTGGTGCAGAGGGGCGTAAAACTTTCTTCATGTTTTTCCAAGAAAGGCTTAACATTTTTTTTACAGAAATAAATTACCTACCTAAATCTATTGTCATGGCAATTAATTTTTTCTGAAAAAGCATGATTATTTATAAGCATGATTATGATTTTATATGATTATTTACATATCTTATACTTGCTAATTTGTTTTGAAATTGTCAATAATTCATAAAATGCTGATAAACAAAACATTGCTATGCCTATATATAAAAATTAGCTTTAATGAAATAAGAAGTATCAAAGCATAAAAATTTATGCTAATTGCTCTAAAATTCCATACCATTCTTCAAATCAGCACTTCAGTTTTAATTGTGTTAACAGACAAGACAGTTGTTCAACACTTTTATACGCTTTCAGACTTTGGTTCAGAAAAAGTGAATGGAATTTGGTATTCTTTATTTCTTCTTTTTTCCCCACATTATAATTATGAACTGAGTTGTCAGAAAAGAATGATTAAGTTTATAAAACATCAGCATAAGAATAACTCCATTTCTTGATTTCTCCATTTCTTCATCAGAATAACTTCATTCACATTTACTTGAATATGCTATTTCATATTGATATCTAATATGAAAACCACGTTCTTTATTACAAATTTTTTTAAAACAAGTGCTTTTTAGCCATTTTAACTACAATTCACATGTATTGTTTTATATGCAAAATAAATAAAACCCCGACTAATTGGAAACTGACTTCAGAGCTTTCGTTTGTTGCATCTATCGCATAACTTCAGATATATAACTTTATTATATTTAACTTTTAGTACTTAAATATTAAGTTGTTTAAAAGTAACAACGCTGAAGAATGTAAATGCGATATATTTCTTAGCAATAATGGGTAGTAGTCCCTCTTTAATTATGGTTTTGATTATCTGCAGACCAAAGAAACTGAAGAACGTTATGAAAATTAGTTTATTTTGTTGAACTGCAATTGGTCAAATGATAAAGATTTACTTGCTTCTAAATTACTTCTACATATGATTGAAACTTTACGATATGTGCTTGCTAGCTTCAATTGTCTATAGTACTATCATTATGACAGTTTAACTCTGGAAATTTGCATCACATTACCTCAAACTGGAACAATGCATTTTTTTCAGTTTGCACCAAGAATAATTCACTTGGCGAACTTCTTAACATATGGCAACCTATTTTCCTTATCCTTTTTACATTATGCATGAGCAGAAGAAAGTAACATAGTTCCTACTTTCAAGCAATTTTAACAAAGTGCCTAAACCACATTTGATGTTATGATTACTTTCAACAAATATGCCAAATTTTCAAAACGTGCCAATATATAAATTCCCGTGTATGTTCAGAAATTTAGACACATCGAACTAAGATAATGTCAAAGAAGTCAAAGAAGCAGACAACAAAAGATATGCAATCTCAATAAACTACATTTTAAATCAAACAATGATTCATATCCACGTAACACATCCTAAGACATAAATAAACAACATATCCTAAGTCGCGCTTTCAAGACATGAAAAAAGCAAACTGAATTTCGTCAATCGGCCTAGTAGAACGGGAGATATAAACTGTTCCCCCCTTTTTTTCCGTAGGGTACATACACACATGAACACATTCATCCATCCATACATAAATATATTTCTAAATCTAGTTTCGATAACAAAAGAATACAAATATTGTAAAACAACCACAAGGGATATAGCTGCTGTCATGAAAATATATTATTAAAGACAAATGAAATTGATTTTAAAACATCAAATCTGGAAAATTACACTGGCTTTTTTTGCTTTCACTAAGCGTTTTGGAAACTTCCACAATTTGCAAAGGATTTAGCAAAAGCAAATAAGATACTGACTGCATCATTTATTACCTTGTTTATTTTTTAGTTCTGTGTTTTATAGCATTATTTTATTTATATTTCAGAATCAAAATAATCCTAATCATTTTAATTTCTTTTACCACTGGTTAAAGAAGACAGAACATATTCTAATAAATATCTAGTATACATAGATTTCTTACCTGCACAGAACTAATGTTTCCAATTTTTCCAAACATCTTTCTATATGCTCTTACACAGATACAATTGCTCTACTTGGCAAATCCAAGATTTTAATGAAAATATTTGAGATCTTGTTTTCCCTTCCTAACACTGCACTGGTTTTCTGATTTTGCACTGAAATATTTGATACAGGAATTGGATAGGCAGAGTCTTTAGTACTTAATTAATTAACATTAACTGAAGTACCCAATACGTTTTTCATGACTAGCACAAGCAAGGCATTCCTATCAGCAATGGCACAGCTGCGATTTGCAGTAGCATTAAATTTAGAAAGAGGTAAGTTTACCACAAAATACAAGTAATTTACAGTATGCATACAGGATTAAACAATTAGCCATATTTTAGAATTTCAGTGATAGAAATACTTATCTATGTAGGACATTTCTTTAAGCAACTGATGTAAACATCAAGCACTATTTATCATGCAAAAATATCTTGGAAAATGTCTTCGCATGTGAAAACAGGTAAATGGTTTATTATTTCTTTTGATCAAATGATAATTTATCTGCCTCACACAGGCTCACCGGTATGCTTTATGCCATTCCGTATAAACACTGCAAACCCTAAATTCGGCTGAGTGCCTCTCAAAATTCAAAGAATTTTACTGCCCCTAAATTACATCATTGGACGAAATCAAACTAGATTTGACCTCACATAATGAGGTTTCTTAACTGCATGCACAAGTTCTTACTGCATAGGTAAGTCAAATTTGTTACTATTATACACTGGAAAGGAGAAGTTTCTCTTCTTTGTAGATTTATTCAAATTCTTCATCGCTCCAAATGACTGATTAGATACATCACTTACCACATTTTCCCTATGTTAATATATACGTTTAAATCATCTTTAAATGAAATTTTACGTGCCTTACATACAAGGTTTCTCTCCTCTGTGAATATGCATATGCACATTTAATTTCCATTTCTGATTAAAGGATTTCTGACATAATTCACACACATGAGGTTTCTCTCCTTCGTGAATAAGCATAATGCTTGTTTAAACTATCTTTGTCACTAAAAGTCTTCTTACATACCTCACATATATGAGGTTTCTTGAGTACGTGAATAAGCATATGCTTGTTTAAACTATCGTTTACATGAAATGCCTTCTTGCGTAGTTCACACATATGAGGTTTCTGGGTGGGAATGAGCACGTGTTTGTTTAAACTATACCTTTGATGAAATGATTTCTTACATAGTTCACACATGTGAGGTTTCTCTCGTGTGTGAATAAGTATATGCTTATTTAAATGATGCTTTAGTTTAAATGACTTTTTACATATTTCACATACATGGACTCTCTCTTCAGTGTGAATAAACATATGATTATTTAAATTAATCCTTTTTTTAAATGACTTCTGACATAGTTCACAAACATGAGGTCTCTCTCCTGTGTGAGTAAGCATATGCTGTCTTAAGCTATACTTTTGTCTAAATAATTTCATACCCACTTCACACATGTGAGGTTTTTCTCCAATGTGAATAAGCATATGGATCTTTAAACTATTATTTCCCGTAAATGATGTCATACATACTTCACACATATAAACTTTCTCTCTCGTGTGAATAATCATATGCTCATTTAAATTCCCCTTTTGACTAAATGACTTGTTACATACTTCACAGACATGAGGTTTCTCTGTGTGAATAAACATATGCATTTTCAAACCAACCTTTTGTCTAAAGGACATCTTACATACTTCACACACATAAGGTTTCTCTCCAGTATGAATGAGCATCAGCGCCGGATTTAGCATTTTTCCTAGGCGGGGCAAAAACTTAAAATTGCCGCCCTTACCCATCTTCAAGTTTCTATAAAAATTTTAGTTTTTTAAATAAACACAGAAATAGGTAGTTTTCGGGATAAAATGTAAAATCCATTTTATAGTAAGAAATTCCTTATGTGCCATTTTTGTTCTAAAAGAAAGATTACATAACAAATGGTTTAGTTTCTTTTCTTATGGCAAAGCATAAGAGAACTACCTGCCTAAGAGGGAAGACGTCTTCTGAGGTCTTTCTAAGAGTAATTGGCTCATATGCAAGTTACGCATGAGCGAAATGGCGGAAACACCCATGCAGCCAGCTAATTCGCTTGATTCTAACTCCCGACCGAACTACCAGTGTTCAGACTTTACATCTCAGCCGCTGGTGGCCGAACATACATACCAAAAGTTACAGAATTAAAAACCCGTGCGAACCCTCTTAATGCAGTTACTTCTCCGGTGCACTGAAATAACCAAATTTACATTTTCCCTGAAATGGGAAATGTGGATTTTTTTCAATATTTGCAACAGTACCTACTCACACTAATAAATGATGCTAATAGAAAACGATTCAGCACTAAATACTAAAATAGTTCAGCACAGCACAGCACAAAAATGGTCATCACACATTACTAAATAAATAAAAAATTTCATTTAAACAAATATAAGCAAATTACAAATCACTAATACAATGGACTGAATAATTTTGTACCAATTTCTCGATACGAACAGTAACTTTAACCTAGCACGTTAAATATTCATTTCACAATAACGCATTCCTGTAGCCTACTCAAGAACTCTACTATCGTCCTTACAACGCCCGATAACATAATAAATATTTACATATTCATGCAAAAGACTATTTTTGTACTGTAAAAGTAATTTTCTCTGAAATACGCAATTTTGCAATATTTGCAACAATAACTAGCCAGACCATGGAGGTAAGAAAGAAAGGAAGCACCAACCCCGCACTGCGAGTGAAGCACTGCTCCGAGGGCTTCGGTCTCCAGATGGAGTGTTTTTTTTTTTTTTTTTTTTTTTTTTTTTTTTTACATTTATAGAATCTCCCTTGACAGCGCACTGATAGTATTTCGACACACGATACTTCATACAAATCGAAAAATGGGACACTTCCGCATAAAAGAAACATTCATTGTGTGATGGATAATAGCAATTTGTATAGTTATGCTTATACAAAATGTTATGTTTAAAGAAGATTTTTAGCAAAAATGTTACGCTAAAAGAATGAAAAATACCTTACGGTGCCTTTAAAATGATATACGTCTTTCGATACCCTTGAAGCGTAATAAAATAATCTTTAGTTACAAACAATAGCTTACATAAGTTAGAACAATAGATGAGCTGATTAATTACGTAACTAGTTTTCATTAGCTATACATAACAACAATACCGGCTACTACTGAAAGGTAAAGGTTAGTATTTGTAATTCTTTTCATAATTCTTGTTTCAATAATAATTTTAAGTTCTTACCTAACGCTCTTAAAATACTACGGAATTAAAATTTTACTCTGCGAGCCTTTTGTTCTGAAAATAAATCTATGGCATCGTCATAATTAACTTGATGTACTCTTTGATTTTCTGTTGCGAGACTTGATAAACGCTCCTGGCTCATCGATGATCTCAGATAGTTTTTAATAAGTTTTAATTTGCTAAAACGTCGCTCACCGCTTGCGGATGTAGTTGAAGCATAGAGTAAATCCGCAGGGCAATGCAAATATCGTGAAAGGCATTCTGAAAATCATAACGTATAGATCCGTTGCAAGAGATAAAAAGCTCTAGCCTTTTTTATGTCGACGAATAACACTGGGGCTTGTTTTTTAAAAACGGCAAGTTCCTGACAGAACTCAAATGCGGTTAGAGATCTCACTCATATTTTCGTGCAAGATCTGCTCCATTCTTTTGCAGTTCTTCAGTTGACATATTCAATATTTCACGACCATTGAGAAATGAAAATTTGAATTTAGTGGTAATAGCCCTGTTTTACCTTCGTTTTAATTTCTGATAAGATTCGATCAAATGCAATTTGCATTGCATTAGAAAGTAGCTGAACACGATGAAATGTTCGTGTTTAGACCACGCACAATTCATCAAATTCCTTTTTGCGTTTTAGAAATCGTTTATTTGTTAGAATAGGTTCAACCTTAATTTTTTTCAGCTGCTGCTTTAAATTCTTTTATCCAATATTCCGTAGGAATTTCTCTCATTTTTTGCAAAGTTTTGGTCAGCCCTTCCATTAATGCAACGGAACGCGCAAGAATAATATCTTCCATTTGAATTTCAGTATTTCTTTGATTAATTTCTCGAAGAATATTAGCCCAAATTGTCCGGCTGATAATAAATTAAAATTTTTTTTACAACATGTAGCAGATGTCCTGCTTTGATAGATAATTAATTTTGAAATAGTAATATAGTACTTTAAAACATAATTTCTTTCAAGGATTTTATTACTTCTGGTAAATTCGTTAGAAGTTCGTTCGCTTTCACATCCACATATTTTGACGACCATCTCGTCTGGCTGCTTCCTTTTGAGTTCGGTTTTGTACATCGTTTCGTAATATCCCATCGAATAGTGAATCCGACAAAGCAGCTAAATATGTTCTGGATAATTCCAAAGAAGTTAACTGCTTCGGGGCAAGACGAGGCAGAAAACACACAGATAAGATTCAAAGAGTGAGCCAAACATCGCACATATTTCGGCCAGCTTTTTCATTTCTGTAATCCTGGCTTTTACTCCAGGATCTAATATGGCCGGTAAGTACCGGCCAGGTTAGATCCGTAATCCTCAAATTGACCACGACATTGTCAATATCCAAACTATCAAGTGTCAGGATTTCCACAATCCGTTGAGAAATACATTCTCCTGTCTTTCCGCCAATTTCTATGAAATCAATAAAGCTCTCCTTTATTTCACACACATCACCACATATTTTTTACATATTGAATCACCTGGCTCATTTGTTCTGTATGCGACACATCTGAAATGCAATCGAGTCATTACATCAGTAATTTCATTTTGAATTATCTTTGTTAAATATGCTACTTGTCCCTTTTTTGGGTATTCTAACTGGTACTTAAGAGTTATGTTTGACTAGCAGAGTCATTAAATTCAAAAAATTGCCTTGACTAGGCCGAGGACACTTTGTGAGCGGACTGCCAGGGGTTTCATTAGACACACGGAAAGAAAGACAGTGTCTTGAAAGATGCAATACAGTATCCATACTCACCTGTAGGATCTTTCTCCATTTTTCTTTCTCTGTGTGAATTAGTCTCTTAATGTCATGATGCCTTGACACTATTTCATTTGTTGTAGTCTTTCCACCACTTAATCATGCACTCTCTGTGGTATTTCAGATATTTCGTACTCAGTTAACCTTTCTGAAGCTTTTTTCCAATTAGTGAATTCTGTAGTACACAATGATGATTAACGGCAGTGGAATGTTTCTGATAAATCTCACAGGGTGTACAAAAATTGCATTTTTAGTTTTAAAATATATAATCCAAGATCTTTTAAGCCTTTCATTATTTGCTAATGTTCTGTGCCACAATGAAGATGTCAAATGTCTTCCATCACTTTCAGTGTACCTAAGGTTTACGTTGTTGGATATTTTTCGGCTAATAATACAGCTTGACTGCTAACAAAGATCGTTGCTGATCGCTCAATTTTTCTGTGATTTACCAACTGGGTCCGACAAATCAAAAGATATTAAGTCTTCTTTCTGCTGCCCACACTCACCTAAATGAGAAAATACTTTATATCCTAATTTCATATCCTCTAGATGTTAGTTTGAGGTCTATGAAGAAAGTTGTTCTCTCAGTTGCTGAAAGGAAGTCTGTTTGAGGATGATAAATGAAGATTCCTCATCTTGGTCATGCAAATTGCAAGAAATATCAATATCGTTTAGAATCTCGGCACCATCGGAAGTTTGCGGCAGTATCTGACGGTTCTTCTTTTCCATGAAGCCATTTTTCATTTTAGCTGCAATTTGTTTTCTCTGTTCGGTCCTATCTCTTGCTCTGGTTCTATATTCTGCCCTGAGAATTTTTTCCTAGACCCTCTCATGATTTCTTGCACCCTAAATAATATACAGTATAACTTGCCTTGATAAGTAATTCAACTTGCCTTAGTAATTACATTCAACAGTATTAGGGCCGCGTCGCGGACGTGCCCGCTAACTAAGTGGTTGCGTCTCGCTAAATATAGCGAAGAATACTAGAAGCCGGCCTATTAAAAGAAAATGAGACAAAAAATCTAAAAAACTTTAAAATCTATAAAAAATCAACCCATTTTTAAAGCCTAGGTTGCTGACTGGCTGCAAAAAGTCAAAATGCCTTACTTCATTTTCGTTGTATATTCTCGACGTACATTAATTTGAATTATTTCATTGGTCCAAGGTTAATTTGTATTGGGTGTTAGGAAAAAGTTACAATTTCTCCATTTATTTCGCAAGAGGCGTTGACATAAAAACAAGGCGACTCTATACTATTCTGTTTTTCATTTGAATATTCCCGCCAGGAGAGAGGACAACAGACTCTAGGCAAAGAAGTTGAAGGGAAAGATATATAGATTCTTTGCTCTTGGCATCACTTACAGGGACCAAAAACCAAGGCGTTTACGGAATACCTTTGTAATAAAATTACATGTTGGATTGGCAGAGGGACAGGGTCCTTTGACTTTTTCAGTGACGCCTGGAGTCCCTCTATTGTACTCTCTCTGATATCTTTAGAGTCGTGTTCGGCTGTACTTAGCCTACTTTTAAAACTGTTTGCTCCATTAAAAGGTTTCGAATAATTAATTATAAATATTCTTAAAATAGGTTTTAAACTTGGCTTTTAAAACTACTAATGTTGCTTCAAAATTTGACATTCCAAATAGAATTTAGCGCCACTTTTGAATTTGCCGCTCTCAGAAGCTGCCGCCCGGGGCACAGACCCCGGCCTGCCCCCCCTAGATCCGGGACTGCATATGCTCCTTCAAACCACACTTATATCTAAATGACTTGTTACATACTTCACAGATATGAGGTTTCTCACCTAGGTGAATGAGCATGTGGTCTTTTAAAATACTGTTTTGTCTAAAGGATTTATTAAACCTCACATACATGAAGTTCTTCTTCTGTTTGGTTATGCATGTGTTCTTTTAAAATATTGCTTTTTCCAAATGATTTGTTATATAACTCCAAGAACATGAAATGGCTCTAGTGTAGAATTGGGTGCTCCTTCGATTAGCGACAAATTTTAGTGATGAAACCCCATTTCTAGTTACCATAATAGTTTTAACTTTGTTTTACCTTCCCAATTTTTTTTATGAAAATAGATCGGCGTATACATGGACAAAGTTAAGGCAGTGCGCAATGCCTAGTTTGTGCAATTCTCTGATGTTTTTCAAGTGAAAATCGATCGATGTGTTCATGGACACCGAGTTTGTGCAATTCTTTGACCTCTTATTTGGTTTTGTGTAGCGGCCATGTTGATATTATGCCTTCATGGCACAAATCTGGTTGTAAAAAAAAAAAAAAAAAATCGCCAAAAAACAAGGGGCACCCAAACGTAAACTTTTACCTATAAAATTTCTGCACTATAGAGAACTATCACTGACAGTCTTGATACCATATAACTTGCAACATTCCTGAAGATGATGTTCGTGCTTTGCAGGAATGAAGAATGTATTGTTTAACAGAAATTTCATGCAGTAGTAGTTCAGCAGTAGTAGTTCTTGCAGTAGTAGTTCATGGATGTTTCAGCCTAGCTTTCCGTATCTAACGCAAATACACGTGATTATGTTCATAAATTTATGAATGCGCACCGTGCATGAGACTTATCTGATGTTTGGTATATGCATGCCTTGATTTTCAGGAACACTTCATTAAGTATTAATTTATTATTTTTCACCCAAATATGAATTCTTCTCGAGTTATATACACATGTTTAATTATGAAGTTACACAATGAGATACATTCCGGTGACGTCGGAAGTCGCGTGATGTAAGAACTGCTAATGTAAACAAACAAGCTTGTGCTGCGGTAGATGAGCTGAAAATTCGGAAACTTAATTTATTTTTAAATAGTTATGAAATTTGCATTTAATTCATTTGGTTAGTATAATTTTGGTAACTCTTATATGTTATTTTTATCTTCATGGTACTCTTCGGTTCGCTGCTTTACTATGTTTTGATTGTTAATATTTATTTATGAATTCTTTCCTTGATCTGTTAATTAACTCATTTATAAAAAAAAGTAAAAAATGAGTATGTAAAATCATGTTTACATAGATTGCTCTTCTACACTGAAAAGAAAGTTACTATTAATATTTTTAAGTCCTAATTTTATCAGCTTAACAAGCAGAACAGTAAATATAAATAGCTGGTTTCTGAAAATCGTAATACTCAAATTTCGGGAGCACTCTAAGTAAGGATAACGATGGCAACACATTTTATTGCTGGCACTGTTTTGGTTTTCTCTCACGTTTTTATTTAAACTTGATTCTGATTTCTCGCGGCAATTCTGTAAGTACATTTTGACATTCTGACTAAATGTTTAAAGTTAAACTGAATCATATAATTGTACATAGCGAATTTTCCATGATTAAAATGCTACTCTTTGCTTAAAATTTTGAAATTAATTATGTATTGAAAATAATTCTTTACTTGCGTGATGATTTTAATCTCCACAGTTTCTAGCTGAATGCAGAATTTCATGTATTCATTAATTCACCGATATTAGTCTTTTGACTATCGATTATAATACCTTATATTTAATTCAAAGAAATTTAAACTTATTCAATAGTGGGGTGCTTGATTACTTGATATAGGCTTCGCGCGGTTCTAAATATTCAAATGTGCATCTGTTTTCCGTATAAAATTCACTTTGCATTTTTCTTCTACTCTGATTCTTTTTACAAATATATTCTGGCTTTTTTTCTGTTACTGAATTGGGAGGAATAATTTTGCTTTTTCAGCTTGGACCTTGCACCTCGGAGTGTTTAAAAAGATTTAAAGGCACTATTTATAAACCTACGATTCTAGATTCAGAAAAATGTGACAAAATGAAAAATATCTTCATGGTATTGACACGTAAACGACGTATTTTACAGGAAGTTTGCGATGAATTTCTTATTTTGTGGAGAACTTTTGATTGAAATCATTCTCTTAACCACGTGTATCTTCATTTATTTTCTCTTCACTAGGCACAAACATAGAAAATGGTTCTAATCTTGTGTGATGGATAGGTGTTTGCAGAAATGAATTTTTGTATTAAAAAAGAAATTGGAAACTCATAATTTAAAAAATTCATATTATAAGCCTTAATGTACCAGATGCAAGGCTGGCACTAGGCATTTTCCCACCTGATACAATCTCTGTGGCTCCTAAATTCTGAAATTTGTGCTATCCTTAGATTTTGTTGCTCAGTACTTCACTAAATTCTGCCACACTGGCTTTGCCATAGGTCCTGACCCTATATAATTGACATATAGTTTCATATTTATTCTTAATGCTCAAATTACAAAATAAATAAAATTAGAAACTTCTTCTGTGCTGTCTAAATGCATGTAGCTTTTTATTAGCCCCTTTTAATGTATCAGAAATCTTTAGTTAAATCCAAAAATTCTAAAAGAGGAAACTTATTGAAGAAGAAATTGAATTCATAAAGAGTGAGAAAGTTGAGACATTAACAAGTTAGAAGATTGAGCAGAAACTAGAGGGAACATTCGTTTGTTTATCGAATCAAATTTCTTATTGTTAGAAAAGATGCTAAAGAGAAGGAAAATGTTTGATAAATTAGATAAAATATCTGGAAAATTTTCAAATTGAAAAGGTGCTTAAAAATGTATTATTGTTATAAAAAGCGCATGTATTTTGTACCTTTTAATGCACAAAAATCTTAATATTGTTTTAGAATTAATTTCATTAATTATATGTATAATTATCTGTTATTTTAAACTGTAAAATGTTCTTGGACTGTGACTTTAATAGATTTTTGGCTGATCTTTGGAATATGGTAACAGGTAGTTTGGCGACGATAAAGGTTACTACCTAGGACTTTGGGAATAATGTGAGAAGTACTCAGTTCCGATTTACGCATTATTTTGTGTGAGGAAAATGAGAGATCATGAGATATGTCATGTGACATTAATGGACGAATCACTGTTCTTTAATTAGAAAAGGGTGTAAATTTGTAAAAATATCTGCTGTACAGTATTAATTTCATTCTGTGTTCTGTGAAACAGTGTTGTTTAATATTTGGATCCCATGGCCCTATATAAAGTAAATCCGAAATTTTTATTCCGTTTATGTGTAATTGAAAAGAATTGTTTAATTGCGGATAAGTATGAATGTCCAACATGTGGGTATGAAATGAGATTGTGTGAAAGGAAGGTTTACTTCCACTCACTATTACAGATAAGTTTGAATGGTGGTGCAAGAAATCTGGTGAAAATGGACATTTTGTGATCCGCCATGCACTCAAGATTTTGTAGAAGATTAGGTAAGTTAGTATTTTTAATTATTTGAGGATATTATTTTTATGCTTTGTTCTAAATGTAAGGAGTAAATAAATTAATTTGGTATTAATGGAAAATTGTTATTAGCAATGATTTAGTTTAAAGTAATTAGAATTGTAAGCTAATTTTTATTAATTTAATGTATGTGCTTATTTATATTTTAAGTAGTGTTTTTTTTAATTAATTATATTTTTTAATTTAATGATCGTGATTTTGAGGGTTATATGTTTGTAGTATTTTGGAATACGTTTGAGTAGAAGTAAATGTGCATGGAAAGAATTTAAGTATTTGAGACTAAGTATTTGTAACCATTTTTAATGTTTTGGTTTATAGATTCGTGGTGACGTTTATAAATAGATAATTTAGAGGTAAAAGTTTTTGGATATTTTATTTATTTTATACGTGCAAATGTTCATCTTTGGAAAGGGTATATACTTTTTCGCGATCAGGTAATTTCATATGTCCTTTTTACCGAATTTAAAGATTCACAAAGTTTTCGTGCATTTTCGTTAAATTTTTCTAATTTATGAGAAAAAAGCAGTGTACATAGATATAGTGAAGAGTGTGTGCAATGCCATTTTTGTGCAATTCTCGGATGTTTTTTTAAGTAAAAATAAGTCGACGTGTGCATGGTTTAATTATATTTTAATTAAATGATAGTTATTTTGTGAATTATATGTTTGTAGCAATTTGGTATACGTTTGAGTGGAAGTAAACGTGCATGAAGTAATTTAAATATTTGACACTAAATATTTGTAACCATTTTTAATGTTTGGTTATGAAATTCGTTAGTGACGTTTATAATAGATAATTTAGAGGTAAAAGTTTTTGGATATTTTATTTATATTATATGTGGAAATGTTCATCCTTGGATAGGGTATATAATTTTTTCGCGATCAGATAATTTTCATATACAGTCAAAAAGTCTTTAATCTGGACTCGTCGGGACTTCTATTCCGCGATTCGATTTCGATTTTTTCCGGATTATAGATCATCAGTTTAAATCTGGTAAGATGGCAATGCAAAATTATAAAATTAAAATATGAACCGTAATTTATAATAAATAATGAGCAATTATGATCTAAAGGGTATCAAAATTTACAAAAAAAGAAGCTTAATATTTATTTGTTTACTTTATTAAACTTTCTTCATTTCTTTCAACACGCGCATGCGTACCTTATGAATAGCCGAAATTAGAAAATTGCGACCAGAAAACTATTTGATTTGTATTTGTGATATTTATAATGACGAGGAATTTGATTTAAATCATATCAAAGACGGAGTACATCAAGATTAAATACTACATTTAGTAAGGAATTATAAGCCGAATAAAATAAAAACATCTGCTCTGAAGATAACGATAGTGGTGACAGATCAACTTCCAGTTCATTGCGCGCCGTGAGGTCCCCCCCCCCCCCCGCGCAGAGCAGCGTGAAATTGATAAACAGATTTCGGAATGGTTAGATAAACAAAGGATATACCTTTATCCATTTTTTGTAGCAATTCGTTTTTTGTTTGATGGACATCGAAACATACTTTCGTTTTCTAGATCCTTTGGGAGCTCCAGCATCGGAAATTCTATTTGACATAATCGAAAGTTCAAGCTTACTTTTATAAAATTGCTGTTACAGTCTGCAAAAAATAAAACCGCCGGATCCAATTCGAAGATTAAGGAACAATGCAATCATCAACATTAACTGAAATAGATAATTTTAGCTTATACCGTCCGTTATACATTAAACGCGCACGCGAAAACGGATTCTGCGCTTGCGCAGACGCATATGCGCAGTCATAAATGTCTTGCGCGCACGCTTAAAACGCCTATGAGCATGTGTCAACGCGGCGCATGCGCAGGAAGATTTTAGCTTTGAGGTCCGGATTATAGATCATTCCGCATTATGAGTGTCCGAATTAACGACTTTTGACTGTATGTGCTTTTTACTGAGTTTAAAGATTCACAAAATTTTCCTGCATTTTCGTGCAAATTTTTTTAATTTATGAGAAAATAGCAGTTTAGATGGATAAAGTCAAGAGTGTGCGCAATGCCATTTTTGTGCAATTCTGGGATGTTTTTTTAAGTAAAAATAAGTCGACGTGTACATGGTTACTTAATGTAATTAAGGTTACTTAATTATGTGCTTACTTAATTATGTGCGATTTTGAAAAACGCGGCAAGGAGTTTGCGATTCTGCACTTTTTCCCAATTATGCAGTTAATATTTGTCATGATTAAGCAGTTTTGTTCCATAAAATTTCTAGCATAAGTGTAATTCGGCTAGTAGATTGTTGGAAAAAGTGTTGAGTAAATAAAAAGAAAAGAAACATGTCTTTACTTCGTGAAGACAAAATGGCAGCGAAAAAAAAAAACAGAGGGTTGCTGTAGCAGAGTTGATCGCCAAATTTTCGCCAAAAAATTGCCAAGTTACCATAATCCAAAGATCAGCCAGATTTTTTAACGAATATTAAAAAAAATTAATAGTGACCATCTAAAAATGGGCTGAAATGCATTTAGCCCCTTGCTTGGCAACTTTTTTCAAATGGGGAATAATAAATGCACCAACATGACAAACTTGACAAACATCAATTCACTTTTAAAATCTGCATAAATGTATGTATGTTTCTCACATTGTGATAAAACAACGCTACCTAGAGCCATCAAATTTTGAATAACGTGCGTTTTCACCCGAATTTGGGCATCTGGAAACCCGAATTCGGAATTTGTTGTATTATCTGTTTCATATTTTGTAAAACATTTAAGAAATTTTTTATTAACAAACTCGACAATTTCAAAGCAAGCAATGGCAACATTGTACAGGGGAAAAAAAATATTTTTTTCTCCAGCGTGCAAAACTGTATCAGAAATTCTAAAAATATGCTCATTTTAAAATGATTTTGCGATATTGCTGTTGAACTGAATTATACGATGTAAGTGCGAAGAACATGATATTTAAAATTAATAAAACACATAAAATGTTAAAAAAAAAAACACCTTTGGGGCGTAATGTAA